ACGAATTAGATTCAGAAGCTTGACTGTCACCATGAAAACAGCAACAGCAATAGACGCATTTTCAAGGTTAAGCCAATCTAAGGCTGCGTGGAAATGCATGACTTCATATGGATTGGCTTGAATAGATTTGATAGTGTTCAAAACGCTTTTGGCTCTGATCATGTAGAATGCTACAGATGCTACAGAGAAAATTATCAAGAAGAAATCCACTATGTTCCAAACAGACTTGAAGAACCTGACGCGTTGTTGATAAAGGTGAACTAACATAACCATGAGGTAAAAGAGGACCATTGCCATGAACAGAAACTGGCCAATTAAGAAAAACATCAGAGCTCCTGACTCAGTGCTGTACAACTCGACTGTTTCAATTCTCTTTGTAGTGTAGGCTGCACCAGTAGCTATGGCCTCGTAAAACAATGTGGCAACGCTAATCAAGTTTGTATTGACATTGAAAACAGCAAACTCTAGAATAACAACTCGAGTCTGGCGATCAAGCCAACCGTGGCCAATAGTTTCGTCGAGGACGCCTTGGGCAGTGGCTTCGTCATATCCCATGACAGCTGCATAACCACCCCCTTCATATGAATTGTATGCCGCCTGGATAGGATGGTTGCGGAGTTCTGCTGCTGATTGGTATCGCCAAGGTTTCGGGCACATTTCTAAAGCATTTGGCCATGATGTGTTGAAGGGAAGAAGCTTCCAGCCGGGAAGACTTAGGGGAGTAGTGTCCTCACTGTCTGAGGAATAGTCGTAGTAGCAAGTTGAGATGATTTTAGGAGGGGACTCGCAAAAACCTTGAAGGAAAATACAGTGAAAGAAATTTAGAACCTTAAGCTTCTAGTAATGACGATACGAATAAAGAAAATAAACAACTGATTCTTTAAGATTTATATCTCAGAATCAATGTCCTGTCTAAAAATCCAGTAATTTCTAAGGTGCGGTGTACTGTTACACACCAGGAAGTGAGCAACATTGTGATCATCAAAGGTGAAAACTGACTTTAATAAGAGGCAAAAACGCTTGGTAGAAGTGAGTATGCCACATTATTTCAAAATAGGGCTCTCTATATATTTCCTATAATTTATGAGTTTCACTGTTCTATGCACTTTGCAACAAGAGCCTTCTTGGAAATATATTTTGTGCATTAAAAAAAGTAAATAGATCAATCTCATTGGTGCATACCTTTTTTAATTCTGAGCTGTCGCAACCAAGGCATTCCTACCAGTATTGACATTTTGTTCTCGATATACACGTCGTTTTTCTCTTCAAGTCCGTTATACCACACCTGATTATAAATGTTTGATAGGAATTCGTTCCTTAACCACGCTTCAAATCTTTGTGCATCAGATACCTACAATAAAAAATATGACTCTGAGAGCTGTTGACATTGTTATCTGATGAGATTGATATAATTATCAAAATAACAAATAAACACAATCGTTTAACCAAAGAAAGGGCAGATCCTAATATTCGTTCTTGCATTTGATTGAAATAATTGGTTTTTTTAAATTGAAATGTAATTTTAAATCTAAAGTGTTCAGATTCCTCACCGGGAGTGAAAAACTATCTATATTTGGTCTTTTTCCAACACATGGCCTCGTAGGTCAGTTGGGATGTGGAAGGCACAGATTTGAATCCTGTCAAAGCCTGAGCATTTACAAGCCTCTTTTCTGCGATTTTTCTTACTGCAGTTTACCAGCAGGGATCAATGCTTTAACCCTTTAACTCCTATGAGTGACCAACACAGAATTTCTCCTTACAGTATCAACGCAATACCAACCAGATAAGGGATGAGAATAAGAAAAAATATCAATTTGAGGATAATTAGTTGATCCAAGACTAAATTCTCTAACTAACTAACTTTAACTAAGAACTAACATTATAAGAATAGTATGGTTGACAGTAAGGAGAATTAAAGGGTTAACCTTAGTTCTAATTTTTCTTTTAAAGATCATTTCAATTCTTTAACGGTTTTAGGGTTGTCTTGCAAAGGGCAATAACGACAAAAATGCCTTCTAACTATAAACTTGAGAGAGCGTTTTGGCTAAAACGATAATCTTACCACATTGAATTTAGTGAACCGATTTCTCATCTCATTTGTCATCAGGAAACGATTTCCATTCTTGTTTCCATAAGAAACGATAGCCAGAAGAAACATAAATATCAGATGAAGGATAATGTCTCTTGTCATGCTTGTTAACTGAGCTTCTTTTTTTGATCTCTCCCTCATCTTTTCCCGCTGATATTTCTTAAATCGCTGTTTGGGATCATCACTTACAAAGTCTATTTCAATTGCAAGTGGATCGATTGCAATTTCCTCTTTTTCTTCTTCACATTGATTTTTATTCTTTCTGATCAGGAGAAAGGAGATAACTATGACTGCTATCATAACCTTCGTGGGCTGCATAACGAAAATATCTTGTCCATTGGAAATCAAGATGGAAGCAAGCCACTGCTCAGAGGTTTCCTTTCCCCACATTAGACTGTAAAACAGCGTAAACGTTGCTGCTGCAATAGTTGCACAGAAGCAGAGTAACCAGCCCACGTAGACAAAGAAGTGAGGTAGCATATAACCAGTGTCCGTTATTTCATCCAAAAGTCGCTGGGCCTCGTCTGTCACTTCGTGTTTTTCATTCCTTTTCTTCCTCGGTCTGCTGGACTTAAACAGGAAGGCAATTATTATGTTTATAGGTGCAATGATAATGCCACTTTGTATTCCGATGACTATCTGCCTCCAAGAAAACTTAAATGGCCCAACCTGTATAGCACCATCGGATTCACCACCAATGTTATAGAACATGGCATTAGCTATCATTGCACTAAACAAAACTGAAAGACAACATGAAGCTCTTTGCACACGTGTGAAGGTGCTACTACATGCTTTTCCAAACACTGACATCCATAGGTGACTGTCGGCAATTTTTCGAGCAAAGCGCGAACGAACCTGAGCCGAGAAGGCAGAGTAAGTTGTGCTGTCCACGGTAACCTCTATTTGACCGTCGTCTTTCTCCAACGCAAGCCATCTATTAATGGGGAACACCCACCTTTCTTCCGTCTGCCGGTCTTTGATGACCACAGTCTCCACAAACCAAGACGGGTTATCACCCAAATTATCGTGTTCCAAAGTAATTTCTTTTAATGTGCCAATGGTTTCAGCCATCACCAGAACAAAGCCATTGATACTCCCTCGTCCGAAAAACTGGCTCGTGTCCCCTTTCTCTCGCAAAGGAATTTGACTCTGCTCGTTATTGTCGCCCTTGATACTGATGGTTATGTTGGCTGTTGTTGCTGAATGTTTCCAAACACCAGTGCTTATAACC